CAGCTGTCCGGTGGCCGTACGGAGACAGCGGTTAACGGCCCGCAGCGTGTGCGGGAGGGCTTTTCCCCTCATCCCGCCTGTCGCCGCTCCCCGCAGCGTGTCGTGATCCGGAGCGTCATGTCGTGGGCTCGGCGTGTCCGGCTGTCCCTCCGACCACCCCAAAGGGAGGATAAGTAATCACCGTGGCCACCATAAAAATATTAATGCTATTAATTATTTAGTAAGCTCTGCCTTGCAGAGGACATTAGCCCGCGTGTATATTCAGAATAACCAGTTTATAGAAACGGGGGAGAAGAGCTGACAGGAGAAAACGGGACCGGCCAAGATGAAAGTCAAATCAGTTTGACTCGGTGGCACCAACCCCAAATACAAATTAATTGCACCAAATGCCTTACCGTCATTTTCTGATCTGGAAAGGAATTCGGTTGTACAGGCTCAGCATGGCTGAAAACAGATTTAGTGTAACGTCTCACTGGCTCCGTGTAAAAAGAATGAGAGCTATTTTCTGTTTCTAGAATTTACTATTATAAGGTAGATTCTCATGCCAAATTGAGTTCTTAGATCTTACTCTCTTTCTTTATATTATAGATTTTTATTAGTTCAGGCATTTTCATGACTGATCCAGCAGTCATTAGTGCCAGTAAGAGACCACTGACTTTTTATGATTTGGAAGAAAAACACAATAGGAAAAAGCGGAAAAAGATGATAGGGGATGTTGCTGCTGTGAATAAAGATTTGCTGGTGAGGGACGCGCAAGTTAGGATTATTTTCTTGAGGAAAAGATTTCAGAGTAACAGCCTGGAAACCAAGGAGGTCAATTCAGTTTTGATCTTCAATCAGCCAATTATTATACAGTCATATAATTACTGTATTGCACAGAGAGTAATTGCAACAGTGTCAAAATACAGCCTAACCTGAGCTCCTTCCCTCACCTTGAAGTACCAGTTTGGGCCATCATTTTGCAGTTCCAGGCCAGGCCACCCTTCACCAGCTTTTCCCATTCCCTCCTTCCTTCACACTCTTACAAAGTCCTTTTTGGCCAGGTCTTCAGACTCCCTCACACCCTGAAACAGGGACCAGGTTTCTCCTAGGTTTGGAATAAGTTCTGCACTATCACTTCTGGAAAAGATACTGGTGGTTGTACATTAATTTCCACTTAACCTCTAGATCCTCAAAAAAGCTATATGAAATGTTGTGCCTGCAAAGACAGGAGAAGTATATTCATCAGGGATTAAGGGGTGATATATGCATCACTTCTCAGTTAAACGTTGAAAAAGAATGTAAGTAATACCTAAACGTTCAGTACATAAATAGAGGCTCGCTATACATATGAAGAATGGCTTGGACATTGGCCATTTTTTTAAATATACTTGAAAATGTAAAATTAGAATCTCATAAAGCAACTAAGGTATTCTGATGAACCATCTCGAGCTTTTCTTCCTGGGACTGACAGAACATAGCCAAATTTTAGGCAGTAATCACTTAAGAAAAGTGGCTAAGATTTTTTTTTAATCAAGTGCGTTTATTCTTGCTAAAGTTTAGATCAGGACTGATGACAAAAATAATTACGAGTCTTTATATGTCTGATGTTTAAAAATCTTAAGTGCTTTTCTTATAAAAGGCTCTAAAATAGAAACACCTATTATTTTTTTTTGTGGTGTAAAATGTAACATGGAGTCAAAACTTGCCATTCCTTCCAGTTTTCTAGACATCAGTAACCCAGGAGTATAACATTTATTCAATGGCTAAATACCTTCTTCTCGCAGTAACACCCACAGGGAGAAAGTTCCAGGAGATTAAATCATTAAATGAATCCTGTCACATCCGCTTTGTGGGAGCAGGGATCTCATACCTCGTGGAAAAAGACAACGAGGTTACACCGGACGGGCTGATGGAACCCCAAGAGACCTGAAGGAGACCTTGGAGCCCTGCGTTTTCTCTGGAAGTTGGCTTTCTTGGCTTCAGGGTGTGAGTTTACGTAGACTGCTTGTCCCCTAGATACTTTACAAGTGTTTTGCGGCTTAATCTGTCTATTTTTTTTTTTAAGAAAGGAATTTTTCTCCACCCACAGTGTTTTATTTTTGCAATCAACTGACTTCTTTGTAAGCGCCTGGGAAAAAAAAAATAATAATAAAAAAAGAGACTCCTCAACAAGCTATTGATTCGTTTAGCCAAAGCAGGAGCTTTCAAAATGTGTGGAAGGGGGGAGATGAAGCACAAGATGTATGTGGGGGTCAGTGGGAGCACGAGGAACCTCAGAAGAATTCCACCCATCCTTTTTATCTCCTCTTCAAAGAGATAAGTAGATGAGAGAGGACTGGGACTAGACCCAGTTTTGCCAGAGGTTTGGGAACAATTAATTTTGTTGAAAGAGACAGGTACAAATAATTATACTCAAGGATCCTGGGTGTGGACACTAGGGGAGATGCTGGGGAAAGCTGAGGGTGGGAGTGTGGAAAGCAAAGGAGGCAGCGGAGGAGGGCACAGGGTAAAAGAGAAGGTGCGAGCACAAAATAATACAGACAGGGACAACTCGGTACGAAAAGCTTGAGACCTCCGCACTCTCACCTTGTGCTGCTTTCTTGGCAAAGCTTGTTTCTGAACAGCCCTTTCACATCCATAGTCTACTCAAAACTGACTGAAAATTACAGAAACTCCATCTGCTGTTGTTACGAAGAAAGGTTAAAGATGCTCGGGAGCCCTATTTCCTCACAAATTCCAGAAACTTTCTTCTGCAACCTTTAGAATCAGCGAGGTTTTACTTCAGTTCCAGTAAGGCTGGCTTAAAAGCTGACCTTTTACTTCTTAGAAACATATTTTTCTTTTATTACCTTTTCATGTCCATTTGTAAAGGAAAAATGTCCTTTCCAGGACTCCATTTATATTTCTATGTGACTTTTTAGTATTTTGAATTCATTCTTAAAAGCAATGTTATTGTTAAAATTAGTGCTCGGTCTTTTTTCTGCATTAGATTCCTAATGCATGTGAATCTGGCTATTTAAATAAATATTTGAATTTGCTGAAGGTAACTCTGTGGCTAAGTATTAAGGAGTCATTTGTGTCGAGGCTGAACTCCATAGTATTTATATTTCCTGCACGTCGCAAAGAGGGTTTTTACCTGACAAGAAAGTGCTTATGGGGATGAAAAAGACCTATTTAGAAAATGTTGTTGTCTCAGGTACAGGGAATATTCCTGTGTTGAGACAAAATCTGTGACTGACCTAGGGTTAAAAAAAAAAAAAAAATATCAATAATATTACTAGTCCGAAATAAAACCTGCAGGTCCGGCCCCG